TGCTTCTTGTGTCACCTCACTTTCTTGAAAGATTTCAATTTTTATTCCATCATTTCCTGGTGCCTTGTTCTTTGCCAATTCCTTCGATGCACTTTGGACTTCCTCCCTGAGTATCATTAGCTCTTGATCATATGGTACCTCTTGAAATGGTTGAACATTAACCATTTCCTTTTGGTACAATGACTTTGTGTATTCCATCATGAGTCAGCTGCAACTCCTGGTAATCCCATGTGGACCAGAGTAGGACTATGCTTCATAGAGTGGTTATGGTTGTTAATTCTTGGAAGTCTTTCCTCCAAGGCACCTCTGGGTAGGTTCAAGCCACACCCTTTCAATTAGTATCCATGCACCACTCAAGGACAGGTGGTGGTGGTGGTAGTGTGCCGTAGAGTTGGTTCTGACTCATAGGGCCCTGTATAGTGTTTCTGAGGTTGTCAATCTTTACTAGAGGAGAAATTCTCATCTTTCTCCCACTGAGTCGCTGGTGGATTCCAACTGTTGGCCTTGAGATTAACAGTCCAATCCATAACCACTATGTAACCAAAACTTTTTCAAGGATTACTAGTTGTGGTGATGTTTATGTGCCAGGGAGTCAGTTACAACGCATAATGACCCTGTGTATGAGACTGTAAATCTATACAGGAGCAGAAAGTCTCATCTTTCTATTGAGGAACAACTGGTAGGTTCGAATTGCTGACCTTGTGGCTAGTAGCTCAACTTGTAACTCACTACGCTACCAAAACTCCTTCAAGACTAGTTGTTGTTGTTGTTGCTGTTGAGTGCCATGAAGTCGGTTCTGACCCATAGCGACCCTGTAGCGGGTTTCCAAAGATTGGCTGGTGAGCTTGAACTGCCGACCTTGCAGTTCAAATGACTTTGCAGTCTGGCACATTAACCCACAGCGCCACACCAGGGCTCCTCAAGACTAGTTGTTGTTGTTATTGTTAGGTACCATCGAGTTGGTACCAACTCATAGCGACCCTATGCACAGCAGAACAAAACATTACCCGATCCTGGGCCAACCTCACTACTGTTGCCACACTTGAGTCCATCGATGCTGCCACTTGGCCAATCCATCTCGTTAGGAGCTTTCCTCTTTTTCTTTGACCCTCCACCTTACCAAACATGAGATGCTTGATGAATTGATGAAAATGATTGAGTTAACTAGACTCCTCCGGATTTAAAGTATCCCCTATGCAAGAAGGTGGATATTCTTAAACAGTCAGTTCTAAGTGAGTCTGCCTTTTGTTATCTGACATCACTCATCCAGGCCCTACTCTCTGTAGGAAGTTGTCTCCCTAAGAAGCCTGGGATGGGCACCAGTGGCAGTGTGGGAATATTGTTGGATAAGATGAATACATCCCACGTCAGACTAAAGCTTAAGTTCAGGTCACCACACATCTGGTTGCTAATTCCCTGATACTGTATTCTCCAATCAGCATTCTGGACAAGACTGAACCAGGATTGGAAGGAGGAGGGAGAGAAGGTGGGTTGCATGCTATGTGGCTCAGTCAGGAAATGAAGCCCGCCATCTTGTTCTACCACAATAGAGTAGACAGGTTTTTCTCTCGCCACCAGGACAGAGAACTCCTGAGAGAAGTCAGTCGGGGCGGCAACTGCTCCCTCCTGGCTCCTTATCTACTTCCTGCTGCCAATCAACCTGGCAGAAGATAAGCCGAGGCTGAGAGCTGTCTGGACAGCCACAAAACAGAACATAATTAAAAAGAGACTGCTGGTCTAGCAGAGGGTGAGGAGCATGCCAGGATCTTAGCCATGATAAAGGGCTTGGTCTTTAGCCAAGGAACAATGGAAAGCCAACTGGAGGGTAAAGGGACAACAGGGAGAATGGAGAGCTGTCTAACGTGTTCACTCTGTAGTCCCTGGGTGGGTGGTGCAGACAATTAACATGTTTGGCTGCTAACTGAAAGATTGGAGGGTTGAGTCCACCCAGATGTACCTCAGAAGAGAGAGCTAATCGACTTTTGAAAATTCAGATATTGAAAATCCTGGGGAATGCAATTCTACTCTGACTCGATGACAACTGGTTTTACTTTCACTCTGAACATTGGGTGGAGATTGGATGCCTGAGAAAACAGTACATTCAAGAGATCTATTAAGAGCTGCAGTCCAGGTAGAGTTGGTGATGGCTTCAACAAGGATGCTGGTAGTAGACAAGGAAGGCAGAGGATGGATGTAAGGGCTTTCCCAGAGGAGAAAAACCAAGAACTTCGTGATGGATCAGGGATGAGGGGTAGAGAGGAAAAGCCTCCAGGAACAATATCCAGGGTTAGAGTCTAGACACATGGAAGGCTGGCAGCTCCCTCACCATGGATCTCTGTAGCTAGAAAATGGTTGAGGAATAATGGGAGGTGTCTTCATTATCTCTGTCCAATAAGCCCTGAACTACAAACCACAAAGTCTGCTGTTAAAGTCCTCCAGCCGTTCTATGGGAGAAAGACAAGGCGGCTTTCTGCTCCGCAAAAATTTCTGCCTCAGAAAGCCTATTGTTGCTTTGCTGTTAAGTGCCGTCGAGTCAGTTCCAACTCACAGTGACCCCGCATCGGGTTTCCAAGGAGCAGCTGGTGAGTTTGAACCTCCAACCTTGTAGTTCATACTGACCTTGCAGTCCAGTGCTTTATCCCACAGTGCTGCACAGGGTCGCTATGAGTCAGAACCGACTCTAAAGTACTTAAAAACAACTTAGTTCTCTAGCATTGCCGTAACAGCAATATCACAAGTGAGTGGCTTTAGCAAGCAGAAATTCATTTTCTCACTGTTGATGAAGCTGAAGTCTGAATTCAGGGTGCTGGCTCCAGGGGAAGGTTCTCTGTCCACTCTGGGGAGAAATCCTTATCTTGTTCAGCTTCTCTTCCTTGGTTCTTTGGAGATCATCACATGGCATCAATCTTCTGTGCCTAATCTGCTGTCTTATATCTCAGAAGTGATGTGTTTTAAAAACAAAACAAAACATCCACTGCATTAACATAACAAAGAAAGCCCTGTTCACTAACTGGATTACATCCACAGGTAAAAGGGTTAGAATTTGTAATGCGTATTTTGGGGGGATGTAATTTAATTCATAACAAGGAGACCGCTCCTTACTTCCTGCCCTTTTTGTCTCTTGCAGGCTCCAGGGTCTGAGTGATCAGCAGAATGCCCGGCCTGCTGAACCGGTCTACAGGGGCAGCCCTGCCCCTCACTGCATCCAATGTCACCTCCTTTGTCAGTGGTTACGCACTGGGCCTGACCGCCTCTCTAACCTATGGCAACCTGGAAGCTCAGCCCTTCCAGGGTAAGAACCCCTGTTAGACATGTCGAGGACTTGTCCAGCCTCCAGGCTGAATCCCTGTCCTGCCATTTACTGGCTGACTGACACTGTGAACTCTCTGAGTCTCAGTTTCTGCTCTTCAGGCTTCAAATAAACAAATAAGGTTAAGATTTAGATCAGGATTTGGCTCAGTCCTTGTCCCTCATTCCAGCCAACTATCCCCAGACTGTCTGCTTTCAAAAGACATTGTTGCTGTTGTTGTTGTGAAGTGCCATCGAGTCAGTTCTGACCCATAGCGACCCTGTATAGGGTTTCCAAGGAGCAGCTGGTGAGCTTAAACCACCGATCTTGCAGTTCAAATGGCTTTGCAGTCTGGCTCATTAACCCACAACACCACACCAGGACATACCTTATGAGAAATGATCAGTCTCCACCTTCTCCAGAGAACTTCCCAATACTAGAGGCATGGAGGTTTGGGCAAAGCTAGCCTCCCTGGTTCTAGCCGTGGTTCTTGGTATGTCTCTGCTCCTCACCTTGGGGAAACGTCTGGCTTCTCCACGTCAAGATGCTCTGCTCTGTCTGTCCTTCCTGGGGTTGATGAGCTTATGCATGAGGAAGTACAGTCTGGATGAGAAACAGCCTGCAAACATCAATCATCAGTGTGGGGCTCTTTGGAAGGTGGATGAGCGTTTACCTGCACAGTTGTATATAAATCCAAGTCATGGCTTCATATTCAAGAGTTACAGGAAAGCCTCTTCAGGAGGGTGCTGTGGGTGGAATGTCCTTTTCACTGCAGTGACAGAGCTCCTTGCCCTTATAGTTCACTTGGGGATGACCTTTCAGCCCACCCTGGGGACAAATACTACCCAAAAAGAACCTGTAGGAAAACTTTCTTCCCCTCAGAAGTCAGCTGGGCTGCATGAATGGCCCTGTTACTCTATTCGAAGAACCCTGGGGAGAAAGGTAGCAGAGGCTCAGTGGTAGAATTCTCACCTTCCTTGCAGGAGACCGGGGTTTGATCCCTGGCCACTTCACCTCATATGCAGCCAACACGGTCTGCCAGTGTTGCTCTAATACTAAATGGAGCTCTGGTGTGGAGCTGTAGGATAAGCACTGGGCTGTGTTTGGTGGTTCAAACTTACCACCTGCACCTTGGAAACCCTACACAGGGTGACTGTGAGTCAGAACCGACTGAACAGCACTTAACAGCAGTATGATGATAAACAGGTTTCCGCCAAGCTTTCAGACTAAGATGAAGTAGGAAGAAAAGCCTGGGAATCTACTTACAAAAATCATCCAGTGAGAACCCTGTGGGCCACAACAGTCTGAACCCGGTAGTGTTTGATTCCGCTGTACATGGGGTCCTCATGAGTCAGGAACTGACTTGATAACAGCTAACAGCAAGAAAGGTGATTTAAAATAGGAAGTAGCTAGAAGCTCAGGGGATTCACGTACTGGACAACTTTGGGACAGTCCTTTGACTTGCCACATGCAGTAATGACCAGTCTTCCCATTTTATAAATAAGGAAACTGAGGCTCAGAAGAAGAGGAAGCCTGATTGAGTAATGAGCTCACCCTGAGCTCAACATTGTGCTGTCCTGTGGTATTGGGCAGATTAAACGAGATAAGAGCTAGCTACTCCCAGTGGGAGCCCTCAGTCATTGGTACCACTCAGCAACTGATTATAAAGGCAGAACCTTAGTCTCTATCCCAATCTACTAAATCAGAATCTGCAGGAAATTCCTGTGCACATTCAAGTTTGACATATGAAATGTTTGGCACATAATATGGGGTATAGAACTTACTAAATGATGGCTAACTTGAACTTTTTGCTATAGCTCTATGAGTTTGGCTTTATTCTTCCCAGCTTAGAGAAGGACTTAGAGACTTAGAAAAGCTAAATGCCTGTCCAAAACCACCCAACTAATAAATGAGACAGGGCCTGGATTAGAACCCTTTCTCCTTTCTCCAAAGCTCCAGTTCCTCAGCACCCCTGGTGCAGACTGGTGGCCATGGGTCAAATCCACTGTGCAGATGTGTTTCATTAGGCTTGCACAAGAGGTAACCTAAAATCTAAGTTTCCAGTCACCCTTGAAAAATCCGAAGTTCTGGCCACACTGGACTCACACACCTGCAAACTGAGTTTGCTGGAACTGGGGAGATGGAGTTATTTTCCATGTGCCCCACTGCCCACATAGTAATTGGAATTGGGTGAAAACTGCAATTACTCATCTGTCCCTGAGCCATTGGAGGCCCCAGCCCGACTCTCTGCAGAGCCCTCTCTGGCAGTGGGAGCCATTTGCCTGGCAGGCCAAAGACTCAGGTCCCTTTCCAAGGATGGGCATGCAGGGTGGGACTGGGTCACCCCATGATTCTGGCCCTGCTCTGGCAGGCCTCTTTGTATACCCTCTGGATGAGGACACCACAGTGATCGGCTTCGAGGCAGTTATTGCCAACCGCGTCGTGACAGTACAGATCAAAGATAAAGCCAAGCTGGAGAGCAGTCACATCGACAACAGTCGCGTCCAGTCCTCAACCATCACAGGTAAGGAGGCCGGAGGGACCACAGCTTGGCTAGAGGCTGCCTGGGCTAAAGTCTCAGGCAAGGGCAGTCACGGAATAGCGAAGATAGAGCACTGAACTAGAAGTCAGAAATCCTGAGATGGAATCCTGTGTGTCCTTAGGCCAATAATTAACTTCTCTGGACCTCAATTTCACTGTCTATATTAGGGGTGGGGAACCTTTTTCTGCCAAAGTGTATGTGTATAACATCATTCAAGAGTCATACAAAATTATCAACTTAAAAATTAGCCTACTATATGTGGTCAAACATTGAACTCACCCCTAATGTGATGGCTGGAACTGTGGTTTGCCTTGGCAGGGTCAGTCTCACAGGCAGGATGTTCCCCACCCCTGGTCTAGCTGATAGAGATCATTGTTTCTTTTCTCATCTCAAAAGTGTGATGAAAATCAGGGGAAGCTTCAAAATAATGTTTCAGATATCCCTGCAAAGCAGAATAGGTATCATTTAAGCTCAGAGGTTGTGGAATGAGTCACACCAGGGTTTGATTCCCTTCCCTTGGGTGCAAACTTAGATATTAGATTTTCTCTGAAGAATGGAACAAATAATTGAACTACCTGATTGTCAATGGAAAGAATCCATGCAGAACACTCATGACAGTCCCTGGTACAATTTAAGTGCTCAAGGAATGACAAGTTATACTTACTACTGAGGACAGTGAGGCTCAAAGAAGGTGAATGGCTGCCTCAAGATCACACAGCATGTCAATAGCAGAGATAGGACTTGAACCCAGAATAAGTATCATGATAGGTAATTCTTACCTTTGAATCTATGATTAAGGTCATCACTTGATTGTTAAGACATTCGAGGATCTTTTAATGAGCACTTTCCATGTGTAATATTAAAGTGGTATAGCTCCTCACAGCCTGAAAGAATAACTAGGAAGTGCCAAGGAATAACCATGATAGGAAGTTAAAAGTGGCAGTGCCAGGAGAGGTCTGGGTAGTGTCTGAGAAGGTATAAAGGAGTTCAGGTCTGGGACCAAGGAGATTTTTATGGAGCAGTGGATGGATAAGTAAAACTGGTAAAGGGGTAATGAAGGAATTGGTCTTCCATATAAAAGGAAAGAGCGTGAGCACAAACATGGGCCTCAAAGATGGGGAGATGTTTTAATTTGGTTCTTGGGAGGAAGCTACAACAGGATGGCGATGTGACTCTCTGTTAAGTGTTTCTTTGGGTCCATGTCTTTCATCCCTAGCAAGATACAGAGGAAATACACAAATTGGAATCAGATCCCTATGGGTTCTTTGTTTTCATTATTTGTTGTTTTATTTATTTGTTGTGCTTTGATTAAGATATTTGTTGATTAACTTGGACAAGTCCCACCTCCACACTGACCCTGTTTTCCCATCAGCCAAAAGGGTTCTCAAACTTACTGCACCTCAAACTTAGAGGGGACTAGAGGTAATATATGCACAACCTCTGATGTTAGCTCTGGCTCCTAGGAAACATTATGCAAGAGGGAGCTACCATTACCCTCCATTCCTGCACACCGGGAAAAGTGACTTTGGATGAGGATTTGGAACGGATCCTGTTCGTGGTCAACCTGGGGACCATTGGCCCCATGGAGAATGTGACCATCTTCGTGAGCACCTCCTCTGAGCTTCCGACACTGCCCAGTGGGGCTGTTCGGGTCCTGCTGCCTGCTGTCTGTGCCCCGATGGTACCCCAGTTTTGCACTGAGTGTGCTGGGCCCTCCACCCAGCAGTCTCAAAGGTAAGGAACCACTGCCCAGACAAGGGCCAGCATCCCAGATTGTTAGCAGCCTCGGTCAGGAAAAGGCAGGGTATGTGGGTTTGGGGAGATAGAAGGGTGGAAGGTGAGGCTCAGCCCCATGGTAGTCATCATCTGGATAATAGTTCCCATCCTGCTCACTGATTTAGAGCACTTAGCACTTCCCTAGACACGCCCTGTGTTGATATTGGCCAGAAGTTCTGTGATTTGAAGAGCTTAGTGTCAGCATTTCCAGGATTTATTATTTAGTTCACCCAAGAGGTATTGTCTAAGCATCTGCTATGCTAGACACCAGGTTAAGTGTTAGGAACACAGAAGATATGAACGCATGGTTCCTACATTTGAAGACTTGATAAGAGAGATCATTATCCAACTAATATGTAACTGATTGTTTACATACTTGCTTGCATAATGAATTATTGGGAAAGTGTGATGAAGAAGAAGTTCATTGGTCTAAGATTATATCAACAGTCTGGGACAGGCCAGGCTTCTCTGAAGATGTGCCATTTCAGTTGAGACCTCCCTGATGAGGAGAATGTAGGCACAGAGAAGGTGAGAACAGTAAGGGCAAGGGTCCTGTGATAGCACGGATCAGAGCAAAACTGAAGCATGAGAACATGTGATGAGGCTTCAGGACTCTCAGCAGGGAAAGCTATTATGGGGATGAGGATGAGCCAATTAAACAGCGGGTTAGAACCCAGGCTGAGCTGCAGGGTGGAAGGAGCCAATAAGAACAGAGACCCAGACAAGTGCAGTACTCCCATAGGGAGAGGAACAAAAGACACCTACATTCAAGATGAGTGCTCCTCCATTTCCCAACCAAGCCTGAAGACAGAAGAGGATGATCATGTTTCTACCACTAGAAGAGAAGGTGCTCTGTTTAAGGAGCTACCGAGTATAGGAGATGTCTTTTGAAATCTTGTGTTTTATTATTGAAATCATACAAATGTTTTTTTAAAAATCTATTCCACAACAGCCTAGTCCCATTTATAGTACAAAATATTTCTTTAAACTGATTACCAGTTAAACTTCTTAACTTCCTTCATTCCAACTCTCATCAAAAATCTTAGTGCCAAGTTGATTTCCAGGAAGTTGTGTCTTATAACTCCTGAAGTTCCATGCATACCTGCTAGGACTCTGGGATGGTTAGGAGCAGGTGCTCACTGGGATGAAGAGCCAGGGACATAGAGGGCAGCATTGGTAAGCTACCTGATGCCACTGACTAAAGTGCTGGCCTCAGACTGTGCCTGGATTGGGAGAGGGAGTGCAGCCTCCTTGGGGGTCAGCTTGGAGGCTACTTACTCTCCAGTCACAGCATAAATAGATATTAAGCATCTGCTATGTGCTAGGGGTCTGTGTGTGGTGCTGTGGGTTAATGTGCTGGAGTGCAAAGTCAGCTTGAACCTCAAGTTTGGTGGTTCAAGCTCAACAGCCACTCCTTGGAAACACTATACAGAATCGCTATGGATTGGAACCAACTCTATAATACTCAATAACAACATGTGCTAGACCCACCATTCATTCATATACCAGTTTGTCAAACTGTAGTGGCTTGTGTGTTACTGTGATTCTGGAAGCTATGCCACTGATGTTTTAAATACCAGCAGGACCACCCATGGTGGACAGATTTCAGATGAACTTCCAGACTAAGATAGACAAATAAGGAGAGTCAGACTTCTTCCAAATATATATAGTCACTGAAAACCTTATGAATAGCGTGGAACACTATCAGATAGCACCAGAATACTGAATATTGAAACATGATAAAGAGCACCAGAATATTGTCAGCTACAGTGCTGGAAGATGAACCCCTCAGTTTGCAAGGCACTCAAAAAAAAACTGGGAAAGAGTTGCTTCCTCAAAGTAGAGTTGACCATGATGAGGTAATTGGAGTAAAGCTTTGGGGGCTTTCATTTGCTGATGTGGCACAACACAAAATGAATAGAAACACCTGTGAACATCCTAAAGTAATTAGAATGCAGAATGTCCAAAGTATGAATCTAGGAAAATTGGAAGTTGTCAAAAATGAAATGTAACACATAAGCATTGATATCCTAGGCATTACTGAAATTGAGGAATTCTTCCAACTTCCTCAGTCTGAAATTCATCAAACATGCAATCATTATGTATTGATAATTACAAGTGATTGAAATGTAAAGATTGGAAACAAAGAAGAAGGATCAGTAGTTGGAAAATATGGTCTTAGTGATAGAAATGATGCTGAGATCTCATGACAGAATTTTGCAAAACCAATGACTTCTTCATCACAAATACTTTTTTGAACAACATAAAAGATGACTATACACTTGGACCTCACTAGATGGAATACACAGAAATCAAATTTACTACATCTGTGGAAAGAGACAGTGGAAAAGCTTCATATCATCAGCCAAAACAAGGCCAGTTGCAGACTGTAAAAGAGACCATCGATTGCTCATATGCAAGTTCAGGCTGAAATCAAAAAAAGTAAAAACAAGTCCACGAGAGTCAATATATGACCTTGAACATATCCTATCTGAATTTAGAGATCATCTAAAGAACAGATTTGATTAATTAGACACTAAAGACTGAAGACCAGAAGAGTTGTGGAGTGCTATCAAGAACATCATACAAGAGGAAAGAAATGATCATTAAGAAAAGAAGAAAAAGACCAAAATGGATGTCAGTAGAGATGCTAAAACAAATAGAAGAAATGAGGAGGTAAAACAGTTAACTAGAAATTTTCAAAGGGCAGCTCAAGAAGACAAAGTCAAATTTTATAATGTAATGTGCAAAGATCTGGAATTAGAAAACCAAAAGGGAGGAACATGCTCAGCATTTATCAAGTTGAAAGAACTGAAGAAAAAATCCAAGCCATGACTTGCAATACTGAAGGATTCTATAGCAGTGAATGTGAGGTTGGTGCAGGACCAGGTAGTGTTTCGTTCTGTTGTGCATAAGGTCACTATGAGTAGGTACGGACTCGATGGCACCTAACACCACCACCAACAAATGTGCTAGGCACTGTTCGTGGAATACAGCAGTGAACAAGACGAAGTCCCTGCCATTGCTGGGCTGACATTCAAATGCAGGGACATCGACAACCAAGAAATAAACCCATAAACATGCAACATATTAAATTATAAGCTCTGTGAAGTTAAGTTCTGTAGAAGATAGAGGTGGTGGAGGTGGAATAGGTGTGATTTTAGGCAGGGATTAGGCAACATTTGAGGCCTAGCCTGAATGAAGAGAGCAAGCCATGGAAATATCTGGAAGAAAGCATTCTTGTCAGAGGTAGCAAGGGCCATGAGGCAGCAGTAGGCTTAGTGTGTTTGAAGAACAGTGTGATGGTTAGCATGACAGAGTAAATGAGAGACAGGAAGAGAGAGGCTACAGAGGTGGAGGGGATGGGGGGCGTCAGATAATTTTGGATCTTGGTAAGGACACTTGTAGACACAACAAAAATATTGGTGGCACACACCAGTCTCAGGCCAGGGAATATCAACCTATGTGTCGTATTTGAAAGTGCTACCATTGGTGTCAAGTCTTGTGTGTTGGAGAGGCAGGCCCCGCAGAGTTGAGGACATTCAAGACCTCAGTAGATCAGGGAACAAGAGGCTTGGCAAGCTCTGGGGCTCTGGGTTAGCTCTGACAAGCTTATTCTCGACGATTACAGCAGGCTAAGTTAACAGTGATGCTCTCTGTCAAATTTTCAATGAACTGCAAATTGGCTCAGGTAGAGAAACACACACACACTTCTTGTTAGATGCCGTCGAGTTGGTACCAACTCATAGCAACCTTATGCACAACAGAATGAAACACTGCCCAATCCTGGGCCAACCTCACAATCATTGCTACGTTTGAGCTTATTGATGCGGCCACTGTGCTGATCCATCTCATTGGGGGTTTTCCTCGTTTTCTCTGACCCTCCACCTTACCAAACATGATATCCTTCTCCAGTGACTGGTCTCTCCTGACAATATGTCCAAAGTATGAAAGACAAAGTCTGGCCATCCTGGCTTCCAAGGAGCACTCTGCTGTATTTCTTCCAACTCAGATCTATTTGTTCTTTTGGCAGCCCAACGTACTTTCAGTATTCTTCTACAACACCATAACTCAAATGCATAATCTTCTATGATCATCCTTCTTTATTGTCCAACTTTCACATACCTATATGGAGCTACTGAAGATACAGTGGCTTAGGTCAGGAGCACCTTAGTCCTCAAACTAGCATCATTGTTCTTTGACACTTTAAGGAGGTCTTGTACAGCAGGTTTGCCTGATGCAATACGTCATTTGATTTCCTGACTGCTGCTTCCATGAGTGTTGATGGTGGATCCAAGTAAAATGAATTCATTGACAACTTCAATCTCTTCTCCATTTATATGGATGCTATTTATTGGTCCAGAAATGAGGATTTTTGTTTTCTTTTCATTGAGGTACAACCCATACCGAAGATTGTGGTCTTTGATCTTCATCAATAAGTATTTTAGGTCCTCTTGGCCTTCAGCAAGCAATGTTGTATCATCTGCATATCGCAGATTGTTAATGAGCCTTCCTCTAATCTTGATGCCACATTTTTCTTCATATAATCCAGCTTCTCTGATTGCTTGTTCAGCATACAGATTGAATAAGTATGGTGAAAGAATGCAACCTTTGCGCACACCTTTCCTAATTTTAAACCATTTGGTGTTCCCTTGTTCTGTTTGAACAACTGCCTTTTGGTCTATGTACAGGTTCCTCATGAGCACAAGTAAGTGTTCTGGAAAACTCATACTTTGCAATGTTGCCCATAGTGTGACATGATCCATACAATTAAAAGCCTGTGCATAGTTAATAAAGCACAATAAACATCTTTCTGATATTTTCTGCTTTCACCCAAGATCCATCTGATGTCAGCAATGATATCCCTCATTCCATGTACTCTTCTGAAACCGGCTTGAACCTCTCGAAGTTTTCTGTCAATGTATGGTTGCAGCCGTTTCTGTATTACCTTGAGTAAACCTTTACTCACATTGAATATCAGTGATATTGTCTGATGATTTCCACATTCTGTTGGATCACCTCTCTTTGGAATAGGTACAAATACAGATCTCTTCCAGTCAGTTCCAGCCACCACTCGTCTGTCAGTTGGTCATATTGGCTTTTGTGTTGCTGTGATTCTGAAAGCTATGCAACTGTTATTTTAAATACCAGCAGGGTCACCCATGGTGGACAGGTTTCAGATGAGCTTCCAGACAAAGACAGACTAGGAAAAAGAAAAGATGAACTACTTACAAATATTTAGTCACTGAAAACCTTATGAACACCAGTGGAACACTGTCAGCACCAGGTTATTGACTATTGAAACATGATAAAGAGCACCAGAATATTGTCAGATACAGTGTTGGAAGATGAGCCCCTCAGGTTGGAAGGCACTCAAAATGCAACTGGGGAAGAACTGCCTCCTCAAACTAGAGTTCACTATAATGACGCAAATGGAGTAAAGCCCTTGGGACCTTCATTTGATGATGGGGCACAATTCAAAATGAAGAGAAACAGCTGTAAACATCCATGCAGAATTGTAATGTATCGAGAGCAGTCATGAGGTACAATGCTGTCTGTGATAGGATAATATCCATCTATATACAAGAAAGACCAGTTAATAACACTAATATTCTCAACAACCACTAAAACCAGGGATGATGAAATAGAAGAATTCTATCAACTTATTCAGTATGAAATTGATCAAACATGCAATCAAGATGTATTGATTATTACCGGTGATTGGAATGCAAAGGTTATAAACAAAGAGGAAGTATCAGTGATTGGAAAATAAGGCCTTGATAAGAGAAATAATGCTGGAGATCGTATGATAGAATTCTGCAAGACCAATTAATTGTTTATTGCAAATACCTTTTTTAAATAGCATAAAATAAGATATACACATGGACCTCATCAGATGAAATAAACAAAAATCAAATTGACTACATCTGTGCAAAGAGATGGTGGAAAAACTCCATATCATCAGCTAAAACAAGGCCAGGGCAGACTGTGGAACCAACCATCAACTGCTCATATGTAAATTCTGACTGAAGCTGAAGAAAATTAAAACAAGTCCATGAGAGCCAAAATATGACCTTGAATATATTATACACACACTAGATAATACCAAATGTTAGTGAAGATGCAGGGAAAAGGAAACTTTTGTTCACTGCTGGATGAAGTAGAAACAGACATACAGTTGTAAAGCCATCTGGTAGTACCCACTGTAAGTCCTTTGAGCCAGTGGTTAGAAAGCAACTCTTTCCAAAGTTCAAAGAGGACATGGATAAGGATCTTATGGTGGTGTTTTTTATGGATACAGAGAAGTGAAGGCGGAATAGCTGTTGATCACCAGGGGAGTAAAGATGTACAGTGTAATGGATATTGCTAAATAACAATGTGTGAGCAGCAAGAAATTTGGTTTACAGACAGCTACATGAGTTTTAAACAGTCTGATATTAAATGCCGTCAAGTTGGTTCCAACTCATAGGGACCCTATATTAAGTTTCCATATAAATCTTTGTGGGACCAGAAAGTCTCATCTTTGTCCAGTGGTGAGGTTGGTGGACTGGAACTGCTGACTTGTGGTTCACAGTCCAGTACTTATCCTACAGAGCCACCATACTCAAAAGTAGCACTAGAGGAAAAGAAAGCAAAACATTGAGGGAGATTCATAATAAATGCAATCTTGTTTATTAAAACTCCGTTGCCCCCAAAAACCAGCATGCACTTTACAAGGATATGTGGAGTCCCTGGGTAGCACAAGCAGTTAAGCACTGAGTACTAGCCAAAAATGGAGACTTAATGGCACTGTAGGATAAGCACTGAACTGCTAACCACAGGTGGGCAGTTCAAACTTACCAGTTTCTCCTCAAGAGAAAGATAAGCTGTCTGCTCACATAAACATTTACAACCTCACTCTACAGAATCACTATGAGTCAGAATTGAGTCGATGGCAGTGGGTTTAGTTTTTGAGTTTGGACTAGCCAAAAGGTTGGAGGTTCAAACCCAACCATAGGCACTTTGGAATACAAGACTGCAGATCTTCTTCCAAAAGATCATAGCCTTGAAAATTCTGTGGAGCACAGTTCTGCTCTGCACCCATGGGTTCACCATGAGTCAGAGTCAACACCAACTAACATGTGCTTTACTGTTGTTAAGTGTTTCCTAGTCAGTTTCAATGCATAACAACCACATATAGGGTTTCTGAGGAGCAGCTGGTAGGTTTGAACTGCCAACCTTGGGGTTCAAACTGACCTTGTGGTCCAGTGCTTTCTCCCACAGTGTGTCACACCAGGACATCTATGTGTATGCGGAAGGACATCTAACAAACAAGTCTGAAGGCGTGCCTGTGTCAGGGATGGAAATTAAGAGTGATTAGAGATGAAGGGGAATAAATATAACATAGAGGGGGCTAATAAACTCTAGCATTCAGCATGTGACCAACATGGTGCTAGGCACAAGCCCATGTAGTATTCAAATCAACTGCACAAATATTATCCCCATTTAATGAATGAGAAAGCCAAGACATAAAGGGGAGGTGACTTGTCCAAGTCACCTTGCAGCTCACAGAAGCAGTGTGATGTAATGGGCCCAGACAGGCAAGGATTCCGGTTCTGCTAAGTCCTAGTTGTATGACCATGGCCTACTTACCTTGCCTCACTGAGCCTCAGTCTCCCCATGTGGAAAGTGGGGCCATATTGCCTTTCTCTGAGAGTTGTCATGACACCAGCATGAGCTAATATATGTGGAGCACTGTGTACAATGCCAGTCCATTGTGGGTGCTCCCTAAGGTACCTGGTCTTATCCAGGGGGCAAGAGGGAGGGGGAGGAATGATGTGAAGGTGGGAAGAAGCCCCTCACCCCATTTATGGGCTCAGCTGCAGGATTACCAGGGATGCCTGGGGCCCACCATCCCAACCTTGTCTTCCCACTCTGGGTTACTGTCTGCACACTGACCACCTACATTCTCCTTCTCTCTGGTCCATTGCCAGCAAAGACAAGCCTGGCCTCAGGACTCAGTCCCTAGACTCCTGGAATAAGTTGGGCCTGGTGAATCTTCTGGACATGGAGGTCTCTAACCCGATGGAGTATGAGTTCAACTTCCAGCTGGAGATTCGTGGACCATGTCTGCTGGCAGGTGAGAGGGAGCTGCCCAGACCATGGCAGGCGCTGGGAAGACTTGAGGTCCAGGGTGGGGTGGACTTCAGACTGAAAGTCACCAGGGGAGAGAGAAACAGGGGATGGCAAGGGGTGCCAACTGGCAAGGGATACCAAAAGAAGACAACTCAACCAGAAGTAGGTAAAGCTTTAGGATCCCTGCATTAGACGTCCCCAACAGCCGCCCAAAGATGAGTTTTCAGAGGGACAGCTTTCAAGGGCCCTGCCCCCATGACCACCCCAATGGCTTCCTGGGGAAATTTCCATCAAGGAATGGTATGTTCCTGGACCTCTCCTAGAGTTCACAGTCTCAAAGATTCTCCCCTTGTCTAAATATCAGAAGTACCTGGGGAGCTTTCAAAACACTGATGCCCAGACCTCACCCCAAGAGGTTCCGATTAAATAGTCTAGACTGTGTCTTGGGTTTTGGAATATTTAAAAGCTCCCCAGGTGGTTCCAATGTGTGGTCAGGGTTGAGAACTGGCTCTCCAGTAGTTCTCCTCCCCAACCCACTCAGGGTTTTAAAAGATCTTGAGCATTTTGGTTTCTTGTTAATGCCTGTTCTCCTAGAGCAGCATTGCTTTACAAGACTCAGCCCAAAATATAACCCTAATTGAGTGTCGAGATCTTTCTGTTTGCCTGGCTGCAGCCAGGTACTTTAATGTGGAGTCCTGATATGCTGTTGTAGGAAAATCACTAGACCACGAGGTTGGTTTGAACCGCAAGGCTGTAATTTCAAACTCACCAGCTGTGCCTCAGAAACCCTATACAGGGTTGCGATGAGTCAGAACTGACTCTAGGGCACCTAACAACCACAATGTGAGGAAGAAGGAGTCCTAGTGTGGTGCTGTAGGATAAGCACTGGACTGCTAATTACAAGGTTGGTGGTTCAAACCCACCAGTCGCTCCTTGGAAACCCTATACAGGGTCACCGTGAGTCAAAACTGACTTGACAGCACTTAACAACAACAACATATGACGAAGCACCTGCTTTGACCCTACTAGCTCCTAAGGAGGGTTCCAAGTGGTGCAGTGGGTTAAGCATTGGGTTGCTAACTGAAATGTTGATGGTTTGAACCCATGGGAGAAAGATGAGGCAGTCTCCTTCAGTAAAACTTTACTCTCTGAAACCCTATGGAGCAGTTTTATTCAGTCCTATAGAGTCACTAGGAGTCAAAATCAACTCAACTACAATGGGTTTGGTTTGAGAACGTAAGCCCACGCTTTGTAGACGGGGAAATTTAGGACTAAAAATTGGAGGGGACCTATTCATGGTCACACAGCAGATTAGGAATCCCTGGTGGGACTGGAGCGTCACTCATCTCTGGCCCGGGTCTCAGTGGCCCCTACCAAGCTCCCATCTCTCCTGGGGATCTTGAGTCTAACCTTAACTTCCTGTGCCACTCAGGGGTGGAGAGCCCCACCCACGAGATTCGTGCTGACGCTGCTCCATCTGCCCGTTCTGCCAAGAGCATCATCATCACCTTGGCCAACAAGCACACCTTTGACCGGTCTGTGGAGATCCTCATCCACCCCAGTGGTAGGAGGCACCATGTGTGTCCCCTGGGGTTCTTGGGGGAGGGCAGAGGTGCTGATCCCATGGGGAACGGAATGTGTGATCCCTTGCCCAGTGACTACCCAGGGCAAGAGACTGCTGGAAGAGAGAAGACTATTTGCCTCCAGGGAAACTTGGTTCTAGCTGGTGGGATTGAACAGCTCTTACCCCGATTCTAGATCCAAAGACCCTAAGGTCTTGTCAACCCTCTGGGACACTTGCCCCTGAGGAGCTGAGCAGAGAATCTTCAAAACCCTGATACCTCTGTGAGCCGCTTCTTTACCGCTCTCTCCAAGAATTCACAGAGTATCAGTACCAAAAAGAGATCATTTTTTTCTGTCTCACTCCCATTTTACAGATATGTAAACTGAGACTCAGAAAGGAGCAGTGAGTCACTCCCAGCTAAGGAGCCTTCCCATGGCCCCAGAGTGCTTTGGAACCCAGGATGATACCCCCTGTTTCAGTTGGGAGTCCCACGACCTGGGAAGAACCTGCCCTATATCAAGGTCCCTGCATCTCTCCTACCACAACGATGCTGAGCATTGGTCTCCTCTCTCTGCAGAGCCCCACATGCCACACGTCCTAATGGAGAAAGGGGACATGACCCTGGGAGAGTTTGACCAACACTTGAAGGGAAGAACAGATTTTATTAGAGGGATGAAGAAAGACAACAGTGCAGAGCGAAAGGTGAGGGTGACAAAAGCAGGGAGTCGATGGTGGCTGGGCTAGGGTGCTACAGGGGACTTAGTCTTCACTGAACCTGGAGGAGAATGAGATCGGGAAGGGGTCCACAGTTAGCTGGTGGTAGATCCTGGATGAGAAGTGTTCTTGTCCATGTTCCTTCTCAGTGGGCTGGGGCTCTGTGGGACACCCCAAGAGTGGACTTCCTGATGCAGCAGTTCCTGGATCTGTCCTCTTGTCTCCTGCCAAGTCATCTCTCCCTGGTCCTGCCTTCAATTCCCTCTAAAGGACTTATTGTCTGGTGCTGTTGAGTTGATCTCTCATTCATGGAGACCTCATGCATAACAGAACAAAACACAGTCAGATCCTGCACCATCCCAGTGACTGGTTGGAGATCAGACCATTGTGATCCATAGAATTTTCACTGGCTAGTAGTAATGTTGGCCCAGGATTGGGTAGTGTTTTGTTCTGCTGTGCATAAGGTCGCTGTGAGTCAGTACTGACTCGATGGTACCTAACAACAACAACAATCTTGGGAAATAGAGTACCAGGCCTTTCTTCCTAGTCTGGCTTGGTCTGAAAGCTCTGCTGAAATCTATTTAGTATCAAAACAACACAGTAACCACCACTGAAAGATGGGCCTTAGCTGTTCTAATTAGAACTCTGGTCCCCTGCATGGAAGATAAGACCTTTATCACTGAACCCCATCAAAGTGCCAAAGCCAGGCAAAATTCAAAACTAGTGGCAGAAGCAACTTGAGCCTTCTCTAGGCTACTCCAGCCCTAAGGACTCTATAGCTGGGTGCCCTCTCAGCTTCGTCTTTAGATCCAGGGTGTCCCCTTTACCACTTCTAAGTGAGTCCCTCACTCTCCTAACCTCTGTGACCCTTGCTTGCTACTGTGTAAAAAATAAAGGCAATGCAGGGACAAGGCTGAGAAAGATCCTGTTTCTCTGCATTCCCTCCCCAGTGGAGCGGGGAGGAGAGGAAAAGTAAGAGGCTGAATCAACAACCACAAGGTGCACTCAGTCAACCCTTCCAGCATATGGCCCAGCACACAGTGCCACGTGCTGAATACCAGGATGGGTTCAGGTGGGACAACACTCTTCTTTTTACTGGTCCCCTTTTCATACGAGAACATTAAGGTCTGGTGGCCAAAAATCACTAATAAGCTGGAGGAAGTGGGGGATTGTCATCTTGTGGGTTAGATTTGGTGACAATGATGCTAAGGAGTTAAAATAGGCCATGTGGTGGCAGTTAAGCTGGGTTTACAGCCCCTCTGATTCCCCGCTGGCCCAGCTGGTATATAGGGTGGAAAGTGAGCAAGAAATAATAGGTAACTGATTGCTCACATCACCTCCATACTGAAAACACCTGCCCTCCCAGAAGTGGCCCCTCACCCAGATGAGTCAACTGGGAGAAGAGTAGGGGTTGACAATGTCAGGGGTGCCCACAAGCTTTGAGAATTGCAGGGTATGGCCAACAGAAGATCACAATGGGCCTCCCAGGCTGGGGTGGGCTGCCCTGCCTGTCTACCTTAAATCAATTAGCTCTGGGACTGATGAAGCAGATGAGAATTAATTTGCCACTCTGGGTTTCTTATGCAAATGACCCGTTTGTCATGAGCTCCAGGGATGACAGCAAGCAGCCCACAGCTGTGGAGAAGTGATGACTTTATTGTAATTGAATAATGGCAGCTTCAGAGGAGACATTAGAGGAGCCAAGGCCAGGGTATTCACCCCGCCCCTCTGAAAGACAGAAACCAGGTTCCTGGAGGTGGCTTCTCTTCCTGGCAGATGGGGCTGCTGCTGCTGCCCCAGGTTTTCTATCAAGAGTCAGACTGGGCAGTGGCCTGTGGCAATGTAACCATGCAGGAGAGAGACAGGGATAGGTTAGGGACATCCAGGGGGTGAGCACCAATCAGGAGGAATAGGTGGGAAACCGTGATTCTGCAAAGACAAGGCCAACAACTAAGGGAGAATCACCATGTACAAGAGACAGATGCAGGGACAGCAAGACCAAAAACCCTACAAAGATGCACACAGAGTGTCAGTGACCAATGAAAAGACTCAATCCTTCATTTATTCATTCAACAAACACCAAGATTCCAATAGATGTCAGACTCTGTTCTAAGCATTGGGGTTACAACATGGAAAATGACATATTCCTTGTCCTCATGGGGTTTACAGTATAGAATGGGAAAACACAAGAATTAAACAAATGAGTAACATCAGTTTGGAAAGGGATGAGGACCATGAAAAAATCAGAACAGGGTGATGATATAATGAAATTATAGGGACAGGGTGCCCTTTGTTGTTGTTGTTAGGTTCCATCGAGTCGGTACCAACTCATAGCGACATTATGCACAGCAGAACAAAACACTGCCCGATCCCAGGCCAACCTCACTACTGCCCTTTAGCCAGGTGTTAAGAGCTGGCTGAGAAGGAGAGCTGGCAGATGGCAAACAGCCCACCATAAGAAGAGTGAGCAGTGCCCACAGTATGTGCAGACATAAAGACAGAGTAATGGGGACCTAACTAAAGAAACAGTAAAAGGAATGACACATGGGGAGAGATGAGGCTAGATAAACCACGGTGCAGTGCATGAGCAGAAGCTTAAGCAAGAAAGTAACTGCTCTAGGTATAGTGGACCATAGGGAAACAACAGTGGAGGGACGACGTCAGTAAGAGGAGACTGAAAAGGTCCAGGCAAGAGATGACGCTGTCCTGAATTTGGGTGTGAGCAGTGGAGACATGGAGAAGGGAACAAGCTCAGGATCTGTTTTAGGTATGGAACTGGCAATCCTTTGCCAAAAGATTAGATGGAGGTGCTAGGAGAGGATTCAAGTTCAACACATAGGTTTTTGGTTTGAACAGCTGGGTGAGTAGTGATATCATCTATTGAGATGAGGAAGAGACCCAAATAGACAGAAACTGAGAAGCAGTCACAAAGCAACACATGCACACACAGGGAAATGAAGAGACAGGGTGCTGAAAGACATAATGAGGATGATACCGCCCCTCCTTTACACGTTCACTGTACCTTTCTCTGTATTGTTGTTACGTGTCTTTGAGCCAGTTCCAACTCATAACAACCTTATGCTAAACAGAACAAAACACTGTCCAATTCTGCACCAACTTCATAAACCTTATTACACTGCCACTGTGCCAATCCATCTCATAGGGAGTCTTCTATTTTTCACTGACTCTACACCTAACCAAACATGATGTCCTTCTCCAGGCACTGGTCCCTCCTGATAATATGTATAAAGTATGAAAGACAAAATCTCACTATCTTGACTTCCAAGGAACATTCTGACTGTACTTCTTCCAAAACAGACTTGTTTGTTCTTTTGGTACTTTTAATATTCTTCTCCAGCACCATAACACAAATACATAAATTTTTCTGCAATCATCCTTCTTTATTGTCCAAGTTTCCCATGCATATGAAGCTACTGAAAATATGGTGGCTTGGGTCAGGCACACTTTAGTCCTCATACTGACATCTTTGCTCTTAAACACTTTAAAGAGGTCTTATGCCGCTGATTTCCCTAATGCAATATGTCATTTGATATCTTGACTGCTACTTCCATGAGTACCTAAAACATGGAAGTACACATACCTAAAACAGATCCATGGTTGATGTTGGAACCAATCAAAATGAAGTCTTTGATAACTTCATTCAATTCTCCAATTATCATGCTATTATTTATTGGTCCAGTGGTGAGGACATTTGTTTTCTTTACATTGAGATGCAACTCATACCAAAGGCTTTATTCTTCATCAGTATATATTTTAAATCCTATTTGCTTTCAACAAGCAAAGTTGTATCATCTGCATGTCGCAGGTTGTTGATGAGTCTTCCTCCAATCCTGATGCCATGTTCTTCTTCATATAATACAGTTTTTCAAATTATTTGCTCATCATACAAATTGAACATGTATGGTAAAATGCCACAACCCTGGCACACACCTTTCCTGATTTTAACCCATTCAGTGTCCCCTTATTCTGTTAGAATAACTGCCTCTTTGTGTACAGGTATCTCGCGAAAACAATTGAATGTTCTAGAATACTTATTTTCCACTGTTTTGTCCATAGCTTGTCATGATCCACACAGTCGAAAGCTTTTGCACAGTCAATAAAACACAGGCAAACATCTTTCTGATGTACTCTTCTTTCAGCCAAGATCCATCTAATATCAACAATGATATCCCTCATTCTATGTTCTTGTCTGAATCTGGCTTAAACCTCTGGCAGTTTTCTGTCAATGTATGGTTGCAGCTGTTTTTTTAGTTATCTTTAGCAAAATTTTACTTGCATGTGATATTAATGACATTGTGGATGGTTTCTACATTCTGTTGGGTCACCTTTCTTTGGAATGGGGACAAATATGGTTCTATTCCAATCAGTTGGCCAAGTAACTGTCTTCCAAATTTCCCGGCGTGGATGAGTGCCTCCAGTGCTACGTGAGTTTGTTGAAAGATTTCCATTTGTGTTCCATCTATTTCTGGAGACTTGTTCTCCTTACTTTCAGTGTTCCTTGGACTTTTTCCTTTTAATCATATGCTACCTCTTCAAATGGTTGAATGTCATCCTTTTCTTTTCTTTTCTTTTCTTTTCTTTTTCTTTTTTCGGTACAATGACTCTGTGTATTCCTTCCATCTTCTTTTGATGCTTTCTGCATTATTCAATATTTTGCCATTGTTGTTGTTGTTGTTCATTGCCATAGAGTCTGTACAGACTCATATTGACTCTATGCACAACAGAACGAAACATTGCCTGATTCTGTGCCAACCTCATAATTGTTGCTACGTTTGAGCTCATTGCAGCTGCCACTGTGCCAATCAATCTAGTTGGATGTCTTCTTCTTTTTACCAAACATGCTATCCTTCTCTAGGGACTGGTCGCTCATGACAATATGTCCAAAGTCTGAGAGATGAAGTCTGCCCATGCTGGCTTCCAAGGAGCATTCTGACTGTACTTCTTTCAACACAGATTTGTTTATTCTT